TGAGAAGCTGGGGAGATCTTATCATTTAATACAAACTTTTGTTTCTAGCTGCCTGTTCCCTTTGCACCTCTTCCCTTAAGGTGCCTGGGGGAAAATAGGAGCCTTCTGAGAGGCCTCATCAACCCAAAGCAGACTACCTTTAAGCTTCTCACATTGCTTTGTTGACCAGAGTATTATTCTACCCAAAAGCAAAACAGAAGTTTACTGGTTCAGAGCTTTGAGTCAGGCACCTGTAGATTTCCCAGGGTTGTTTGTCCCTTCTTCCTTTTGTAGAGCCACCTGTGTGTGCACGATATGGAGTCAGCTGTGAAGCTGGGCCCCATCCGGAGTCTAAGTGAAGATCAATGTCCTATAGCAAAATCTTCCAAACAGGTCAGGTCTAAGAGGCACTTCTGTAAATTTCCCTCAAGGCTGAGGGTAGAGTAGGTGCTTTGGGGCCACCTGCTCCCTCCAGCTTCCAGAATGAGTCTCTGTTCACACGCTGGGTTCAGCTGAAAGAGCAAGGCCCAAGTGCCCTCATGTACAGGGGACAGTAGCATCACCCAACTCAACAGGAATTCACTGGTTCAGAGCTTTGAAAAAACACACACGACCAGTCCCTTCCTAAACCTTAATTATGTCCGACTCCCTGAGTCTGGACATTGGTAATTTTTTTAACTTCTTAAATGCAGCCATGGTAGAGAGCCACTGACCTAAATCCTCTTTCTTCCTAGCCTCTACCTGGCCTCTTGCCAGTGGCGTGCAGAATCTCTTAGCTCTCAGCCTTCAAAACAGCCTCGTCCTTTCTGGTTGGTACCTGCTACTGCTGCTGGCATTCAGTAATTGCTGTTTGCATACCTGTGTCCTGAGTTTAATGAGTTTCTGTTATAAACTGTTTGTTTCTAATGTAACTTAATTTTTTAAAATTTATGTTTGTCTAGAAGAACTGGAGTTCAGGCCAGAAGTATCGGGTGGGATTGGCGAGGGTAGTGAGAGAACTCACCAGAGACAGAGTGGGACGCAGAATAGGTGGGTCTGCTGAAATACACTGCTGAGGGGAGCAGCAGTTGAAACAGGAGAGGTCTGCTGTGCCATGTGGGTCAGCTCCCTGGCCAGGGGTTGGAGGATCTTACTCAGGCCATAGCAATGATGGCATGGAGACTTAACCCCTAGGCCTCTAGGGAGGACCTCATTAATATAATTTCTTTATGGCCACTTTTTCCCTTAAAAAGTGTTTGTAGAAGTAGGGTCTCCCTGAAGACACAGGGGTTAAAGTCTCAGCACTCTCAAACTATTGCCAGTAGCAAACCTTTCCAGCTGCTCCCCTCTGCAGTATATTTCAGTACATCTGCCTGTTGTGCCTCCCACTCTGTCCTTGGTGAATTTTCTCATTCCCCCCACCACCTTTGGCCTACACCCCAGTTCTTGTATACATAAATAAATAAAATAAATCTTTAAAAAAAGTGTTTGTAGAAGTAATGCGCATTCATTTAGCATTTTAATCTATTTTCTTATAGATATATATGCAGCAAAATGATTGTACTGTGTGTTGTTTCGTAACCAGCCTTGTACATTTAACAATATGTTGTGATAATTTCCCCATGTCTTAACTGTGCTTCTCAAGTGACTGCTTTATAACAGCCTGGTGTTTCATCATATGGATGTGCCATAATTTATTTAACAAATCCTCCGCTGTCTGGACATCTTTAGTTGTAAACCATTTTTTACTATTATAAATAATCTTGCAGTGAACATCTTGTGTATAAATCTTTGTGCCTATTGATGATTATTTTCTCGGAACTGACTGCTTGAAGTAGAATATTTATGCTTCTTTTTAATATGGGCCATTTACAAAATTTTTGACCGACTTCCTTTTTATATTCTGAGCTAAAACAAAACTATTTCACTACACTCTTGGCTGCATGGTCTTTCCTGACTCACCCCCTTGTGCCTAGGCTCTGTTACAGGTCAGTTCCACACAATGCTTCCTCACCCCTTGAGGTGAACTCCCTTCTCTCCTAACAACCTCCAGTATCTTTGTTTTTTATTTCACCCCCTCAGTGTTTTCTCTCCACCCCTCCATCCTGGAAACTAGCAGCACTCAATGTCTCTAAGTTATTGTTCCATAATAACCAGCTATTATTTCTCGAGCTGGTACGATGTACCAGACAATCTGCTAAACTTTGTATTTGCATATCTCTTTTAATCCTGGTGTGCTTCATGTGCATGTATTATTTTTGTCTTCACTTTCCACATGAGGAAACTGAAAACCTTGAGAGATGAAACAATTTCCTCCAAGGTCACACAGCTAATAAGTGGTAGAGTTGAGATTTAAACCCAGGCTGTCTGGCTGCAGAGCCTACTTACACCCACTACATATGCTTTTCTCCGTCCTCCACTCATGGTCTCAACAACTATTCAGAAATGCCCATCAGCATCTCAGGAAAACCCTGCACTCCTCTTCAGCAGAAGAGGGGCAATCCTCGCATAGCAGTAGGGGATGAGAGAGGGGGGCGTTCATCGAGGCCTCCTTTTCCTTTTCACTTCCTTGATTCTGTCCTCATCCCCTTTCTCTAAGTAGCCCACGCCAGAAAACATTTCTTGCCTCCTCACTGACCAACTGCCAAGATCCCGACATGCCTTATGGCTGAGCAGGTCCAAGTTATGACATATCCTTATTACAGCTTCCCCTCCCTGTCGGAAGAATTTGGATGCTATTTTTCCAGTGCCTCTTATAAAGCTGTCAGGAGACATGCCGTAGTAAGGATGGGAGTATAGTCAGCCTCTTCTGTTGGATGTCAAATACTATTGAAAATGGAGGATGGCATATTTCTGCATTCCTGCCTTCACAACACTGTCATGGCTCAGGAGGCAGCAAACAGCAACCAAAACTGTCCTTTGGATGTGAATCCGACCATGACCAGCAACTCTGGTGACATGACAATGCTTGGGTGACCAGAACACAGCTTACATCAGCCTGGAGGGAGTAAGTAACAGGCAAGGAAGGAAATGACGTGCCCCCAGTCCTTCCTTAGACTATAGAAGTCTGACTTGCAGACGTGTAGTAGCGTGATTAAGAACTCCAAAAGGAGGCCCTCGCTGGTGGCGCAGTAGGTTAAAGCACAGCACTAAGAAGTTCAAGCCACCTCAGCATGAGTTCGATCCCCGCCAGCCCC